ACTATAGAGCACCGTATTTATGGAACAAAATTGTTGTTCCAAATTTTGATTTGTCAGTTTCGTTTTCCGTTTTTAAAACTAAATTAAAAAAATATATTCTTTCTACTGGCAATATATATAAATATTTTTGAAATGTAAAATTCTTTTTTTTTACTCTGGATAATTTGTAAAATTATTTTCAGTTTTTGTTTCTTCTACATTGTTATTAGTTATTTGATCAATTGTATTTTATTTTATTATATATACACGTATTATATCTTTTATATGGTTCTGGCGACAAGATCATTTGGATCTTCTTTCAGATACCAAGTTTATATATTGTTATATTGTTATATTACGATTAATAATTGTAAACTGAAAAAAAAAAAAAAAAAAAAAAAAATACATATATTACTCATTTACTTATTCCTCCACTAACTATGCAAACATTGCTTTGTGCAGCACCAATAAAACAAAGACAAAAAAGCTATTTAGCAAACAAAAACATGCATTTATTATTTATTAAATGCACAACGTCTCTCGCATTCTAGATCATTATTCAACAATCTTGAAATATTAAATTTGTACAAAATAAATATATAACATCTGCTAATTTTTATGTATAAAACTAATAATAATACAATACCAAATATCTTCAAACCATTATTTAATAAAATTCAACACAAATACACGACTAAATATTCAAGTAACAACTTTGTTCAACCGAAAACTACATATGAGTCCACCAAGTTCTTAATAACTATTAGAGGACCTAATGTATGGAATAAGATAATAAGTAATGATATTAAAACGCTTACAACTCTTGAGCCGTTTAAACAAAAGCTACACCTATTACTTTTAAATAACGAACAAACAGAGAATTATTTTTAAATCTATAAAAATATTATATTTAAAAATTATCTATAACTTTATTTGTCTGGAGAGATCTACCCAGTAAACATTTGGTAAGTAGTTGGTAAACAGTTGGTAAGTAGTTGGCCCGATACTAATAACCAACTATTAGCTACAGTTGGGCCAACAGTTGGCTATTTAGTTGGTACCGTGAAAAAAACGTAACGCTTTTACCAACACTTAGCCAACTGTTTTATAAACTGTTGGTACCATTAACGGCCCAACAGTAATAAAACAATTGGCTAACAGTTGGTACCATTACCGGCCCAACTGTATGATTTTTTTCGCGATTTTTTAAATTCACTTTTGCACTTTAATTGAAAATGCAAATGTTATAAATATTTTGAATATTGCTTAATAATAAAGTGTAACTTCTAATATTGATTTAAAAGACATTTAAAATACACTTAGAACGTTGCTTTTAAAAACAAATGCCTGTAGGGTACAAGCATGCTTTTGTTTACTATAAAGTTTTTTGAGTTTTCTGTAATTTGTACTTCCCCATACAATGATGCAGTAAGAAAGTGAATAAATGAAAAATAAATTTTCATAAGAGCTCTAGTATTTAAAAACGGTTTTGTTTTATAAAGTACGTAAATATTATAACAGATTTTACTTTCAATGGATTGGATGTTAAACTTCCATGACAAGTTTTCATCAAGAAATACTCCTAAAAAGTTAACAGTAGATTCCCTTTTTACATCTGTTTTATTGAATAAAAGATTTGGCAGTTTAAGTGGAATATTATCAACTTTATTTGGTTTGTGGAATAGGATGAATTCAGTTTTATCTACATTTAGTGAAAGGCGGTTACTTATAAACCATTCATTTGCTTTAGATAATTCTTCATTAAAAATTTTAAAAAGAATTTATATATATATATATATAAATATATATATATATATATATATATATATATATATATATATATATATATATATATATATATATATATATATATATATATATATATATATATATATATATATATATATATATATATATATATATATATATATATATATATATATAGATGCATAACCTATTTAAAAAATGAAACCAAAAAAAACTTATAAATTGCGTTATTATATATATATATACGTTATTATATATATATACGGGTCCAATAATTTGGTGCTTAATTTTAACTTAAGATGTTTCGTTATTTAACATGTTAATGATTTATTGCAATGAATCATTTGAATCTCGAGTATAATCTTCTTCTTCAGAAAAGAATTTCTACTCTAAATAACGATAACTAAAGTTTATTTAATAAACCTTATGTATTTGGATAACTTTGTTAATTAAACGGAAGTTAAGTAAACTATTGTAATTTATTTTGATGACTCCATTAATTAAACCGATGTTAAAATAAACTTTTGTAAATCATGCACACATTTGTAATTTAATAATGTGTACTTAAAAATGGAATTAAAACCACGCTCACATTGGAATTAGAATAAATTAGAAAATTCAAAATACAAAAAAGGTATTCTTCGATTAAAATTTTTTATCTTCCCATCAGCAAGCGCTAAAATTTTATTTATTTTCAATAATATATTAGTTTTATCATTATACTATATACACATTTTTTATGTTTAATCGTACATACTTTGCAGAAAAGCAATATGTTTTTAGTTTGTATTTTTGATAAAATACAAAATGAGAGAGGGAATAAAAAGAAATCATTGCAAAGAGAATAAATAAAACCAAACAGCTACTATTCCAAAGCTTATATTTACACTTTATAATGTACAAATTTTTTAATTACAAATTAAGCTTAAACTTTTTGTACTTTTACTTTTTTTTTGACAATCCCGAAATCCCGGGAAATTTTGAAGACTTATCCCGGGACTTCGGTATAAACATTGCTGAAAATGTTGGTATATATATATTTTAAATAGTTTCATTTTTTTCAGCTTCTATTTAAGCTTTTTGCTGGTATGGTATAAATAAACATCCTTTGAAACACCCATAACAACAGAAGAAAGCTGTATAAAAACTTATGTTTAACTACTGTTTTGTAGGCTATCTTGTCTGCATTTAAAAAAGATTTAGTTTATAGGCTAATTATGTGAAACTATCAAAAATAAATTTGTTTTACCTTTTAAATTAGTCCCATTTCTAATTTATTTGACTACTTTCTTCTTGTGTTAATTAAATCTTGACTGGAAATGCAAGTGCATATTTCTTTTAAGTTAAAAAATTAAATATATAATTGATAGTCCTAAAAATACGCAAGAAATAAAAAGAAAAGATTTAGAGGCAACTCACAAAAATTATTACACAAGCATCAAATATTAGTAATAACTTGCCTGAAAGTGCTACATGTCATGTTTAACTGTAAATGCTTTTGACAATATCTCATCAACATATTCTTTGCCTGATTGGTGCAAATGAAAAAAAAGTAAAAGTACAGATGCTTATGAAAAATATTCTCTAAAAATAAACTTGCCTAATGGATTTATTAATTAATCAAGAAAGACTTTAATGATTAGAGAGTAACGACAATCTTTTTAAAAAATCTTTTCATAAGCAAACTCAAATTGTAATAAAGGACTAATTAATTTTATCTGGTCCCGGTGTCCTAAATATGTTCATGTAACAATAGATGTTCTTGAAATGGGAGTAAACAATATAGTTCTCTCTTTTAATGAAGGTTCGTCTGGTGTTTATTGTGTATTTGAACATTTAAATCTTGACTAATATGGATAAAATATAAATATACCTGTTTAATTAAAAAAGACAAAAATGGGTAGCAAAGTATGATAAAAAAAGACAACAACAACAACAATAAAAAAGAAAAACAAGAGGAAAAGAGTTAAGAGGAGTTAGGAAAGGTTTGATTGATAAAGAACAAGAACAATAATGAGAAAAAAGCTTAAAGGAAGTTTTTAGAGTATCTTTTAGCTGTTTGCCTAATATCTAAAAATTAAGATTTTATCATAATTTATTAATTCAAAACATGATATCAATTCAACATTAAAAAAATGCTTAGACCTCCAAATTTTCCCTAAATGTTAAATACATATATTTGTGAAGTATCAACTAGAACCTTAATTAAATATTTGTTGAGTTTTAAATCTTCTATTGAATATTACCCCCTAGAAATTAGTCAATTTTTATTTTATGGGACAAAAAAACAGTTTTTGTAAAAACGTATTGAGTTGAGTTCACTAGCCAAAGTATTGAGTTGAGTTGATTAGCCATTCTGGAATAATTATTTTTTGAAAAATAGATAAAAATTTGTGTGTGTGTTTTTTTAACAATATTGTTATTTAAAAAAAAAAAAAAAAAAAAAAAATTAAATTTTTTTAATTTTGTGCATTAAATCAAATTTATAAAACTGATTTTAGAATTAAATTATGTTATTTTACATAAAATAAACTTATTTTAATAAAAATCTTTTAGGTTGTTCCACAGGACATAAATCAAAATTTTATTTTCTGTGAAACCACCTATTTTAAAGCAAAAGTATGACGATTTTGATACGGGTTTTTTTGGCCAAACATTTTTTATAGTTTAGGTGAACCGATCGTCGGCAAAACAGCCTAACATTTGATGCACCCTTTCTAAATACAAATCAGCTATATACTTTGAATATATATTATATAATTTTTTAAGAATCAATCAAAATATTATTATTAACTATGTAACTGAGACAACATTATTATTTGGTGATGTCTTCTCAAAACCTTACGTTTGTCTCGAGGTACCTCAAATAAATGTATTAAAGCTTTTGTTGCGTTATCTTGATCTTTATTTTCTCATTATATTACTGATAGTTGTCTATGCGACACAAGCCAGAACATTTGCTTTTAACTTGAAAACGCATTTATTTTTCAACATTTTTGTTCCAAAACATTAGAGAGTAATTTTATGCCAAAACAGCTTCTTGCTTTCAAAATCAATGTTTTTAAATGTGCATGCTTTCACCCAAAAGCCATTGCGCCTTTTGTTGATAAACAGTAATGTTGTTGTTGTTTTTATTCTGCTTATAAATCATTACTACATTTACTTACGGAGAGTTACTGAATATAACGGAGATTTTATTTTCGTTTCTAAAGTTAAACGGAGATTTTAAACGCAAAAAAATGATCTCTGTTATCTCAAAAACAACATGTAAATCGAATCTTCCAAAACACGTTCTCTTCTTAGAGTAACTTTTGGAGGGAAAGGTACCCTTAACATGGCCTGTGTATCAGATGAACACGAAGATCCAGCTTTAGCACTATTATCGTTGCGACAGGGAGATTCACAAAATGAGAAAATGAAGAAGCCAGCATGGGCAAATAATTCTCCTATTGCAAAATTGGCCGGTAGAGAGTTTGAGTACATGGTTCGTCAAAACAGAATTTCTATAGGTAGAAACAGTAAACTTGGTGATGTTGACATTAACATGGGTCACTCGAGTTTTATTTCTAGAAAACATTTAGAAATAAAATATGAGTCCCCTTTTTTTTATCTTTCTACTCGAGGGAAAAATGGTGTTTTTGTCGATGGACAATTTTATCGAAAAGGATCTGAACGAATTCTTTTAAAGAATAAGTGAGTGATGATATTTTTAAATTATATTTCAATGATATTTTATTGATGAATAAAGAAGTAAATGTAGATATTTTAAATGCAAATATGTAAATGTAGACACACGCATGCACACTTCTATTTTTAAGTGTATTTTATAAAAGATTAAATATATTATCCAAATTATGTGGTAGTGATCAAGTAGTGGAGCACTTGCTTTGTCAGCAAGAAGACCCAAATTCGATCCTTGACATGTTCCTCAACTTGTTTCTTTGTGCAGCAGCGTTATTTGTCAAGGTTCATATTTTCGTAGTAAGGATTAAGATAAGTAGCTTTCTCATATGTATTAGCTCCCCTCGGCCTTTGGGAGTTAAATAAATAAATGAAAAAAATTCCAAGGCTAAGAAAGAAATTTAAACATTTTTTTAACAATTGAATTAATGTAAATAACACTGTTACATTTGTTATATGTAGTGATATTGCGCTGTTACATTTGTTAACAGTTAATCACTGCTGTAGTGATATTGTACTGTTGTTAACATTTGATCAATGCTCCAATTTAATTGTGCTATAATGTGGTAGTAATTTTATCTCTAAAGTGACATTTGCCAACGACACAACTATATATTCCTGCCTCAACAAAAACTCATAATTTTTTAATTCCTCAGGAATGTGAAAAGCTTGGGGCTTGCCGTGACTAGTAATTATAACCAAACAAAATTTAGTTGTTTTCCGCTAATAGTTATCAAAATATTTTTGATACACTTACATTAATGAATTTACAATACCTTTACTGAGTCCTATATTTTATGTATTAAATTATAATTCACTACTGATCTCTTGTGTAAGCAATATATACAACCTATTGCAAACTTGGCATCTGCTAAGGTTGCCTCTTTTGTTCTTGCCATTTTTTTACTCCTAACTACATTTTCTATCACTATAGCCCTCGTATTTGTCCTAGTCTAGGACAAATAAGAGACCTAGAAAACTGTTATCATATTTGGGCTAGGTCTTGTAATAAGAATTCTCTTTTTAGTTAAAATCCAGAAACACATTGTAAATGTTGTTGGACCTGCTCTAGTTGCCAAAGTTGAGCCTCTATACTACTTTTTTAAAGTTTTTCTTTAGAATATCAGTGGTTTAAAATTTTTTCCTATTTTTATGTTTTCCTGACTTGTCCAATCAATAGTTTTTACGGTTTAGTCAACGCTATTCATATTTTTAACTCTTTCTTGCAGCCCTATTGTAAGTAGCTTTCTCTTCTATTGTGAATTTGTTTAAGAAATTTACTCTGGCTGTACTTACTTGTCTTTTTTTTTTTTTTTTTTTTTAAACATATAAGAATTTATTCAGAAGATATAAAGCTAATTTTGCTGATGAGGTTTGGTTATGTTTTAATGTTATTTTAATGTTTTAGAATTCTAAAATGCAACAAATTAACATAAATTATATAAAATTGGTATAATCAGATTAATTAAACAAGCAAAAATGGCTAGTATGTTTTGTTTTTAATTTTTACAACAGTTTATGTTGCATACAAGAAAAGTCTAATTCTTTTCACATTTTTTTTTTTGTTTTAATGCATTATTTTAGAATTTATATAGAAATTGTTATGCTAATTTTGCAGGTAATATATTTTTATGTGAGTGCAGCTAAAATATTGTGACACAAGTGTAGGTGCAACATGGTGATGTGAGTGTAGCTGTGACAAGTTTTTAACAAAAATTTATTTTAATAGGTTCAACAAATAATAAACTTCATTTATTCCTTGTGAATATATAATATAAATTGTAGATTTTATATATATATATATATATATATATATATATATATATATATATATATATATATATATATATATATATATATATATATATATATATATATATATATATATATATTGTAGATTTTTTTTTTCTGTATTTTAAAAATATTTTGTTTAGATGTGTTTTAAGATTTCCATCTACAAATATCAAAGTCTGGTTTACCTCTCTTCTTGATAAATCATCAACCGATAATCTTTTAGCCAGTCCCCCCAGACAAAAGTCTATAATTCCACTTAGAATAAGCATTCCAGATGCAGATTCAGTTTACTCATCACCTGCTCCATCACCTTCAGGTACAATTAGGTAAGTAGAGTTGGTTGTTTAATGTTCAAAAAACAACTTCGATGTTAAAGAAATTTTTGTCACACATGTCAAGTACTGTATCTTAATTTTAACATAATTTATTTGTGAGTATTTAAAAATTAAACTCGCATTAACGGTTTGGTATCACCACATCTACAAAGTTAAATAGTTTAATTGTTATTTTTTGGTATACTTCTTGGAAGTTAGTGTTTTTCTGTGTCCAGTAAAGTAGTTGTCATTGTGAAGAAGCTTTTTGTAAACAATTAAATGATAGCTTGTGTTTAATAGATGACCTTGTTCTATTTTGATTTAATCATTTGGAAGACATAAAAATGTATGATACCTAATATATCAAAGAAAGAAGTAAGACATAAAAACATACTATTTATAAATCTCTATGCTATAAAATGACCAAGGTCTTTTAAAGAAAGAAAAACAGAGCAGTCTTCTTGACTATATTAGCCCTTGCAGTTAATTCATGTCAATAATAATAAATATGTGTATGTATGTATTCGTTTGTTTGCCATCTTTGTTATATATGTGTGTTATACAGTCTTTGTATTTTATATTATAAATTTTTTTAGTTATCGTTGTAATATACAAAAAGATATATATTGAATTACAATAAGTTTTTTTGCGAACATAACTAATGTTCATATATATAATTTGTCATAAGTACAACTTGGTCAATATAAAAATTCAATGAAAATGCAGTCAACAATCTATGAAAAATCTTGTCTTTTTATGAGATTGTTATGTGTTTAAGGTTTGTTTTTTTATATTTTAAGAATATATACCCATAACTCAGTTTAAAATTCTTAAGTAAAAAAATGTAATTAAAAAATTTTTAATAAAAATACAAACATGGTTTTAATCCAAAAAAAATTATTTCACAATTACAGATAAAATATTTTTTAACAATAATTAAGATGTAATGTTATCAAAATAAGCTTCACATTAATAATATCAAAAGAAACCAACAGATAATATATCCAATAGATAAAAGTTTTGGCATAACTAAAATGGCCTAGGAATTGAAAAAACTATTGGGATTTTTTACATAAAATGTCTACAGCGTAACACTTTACATTAAGACATTAAAATAATTCTGAATAACTATAAAAACTTTAATTTGTATTATGTTTATAGTGTACCTAATTCTTGCCCTGTAAGTCCTGCTCAACAAAATCTTCCAACTCCACCTGACTCCCAAAGTTCTAGCCAACATCAGAGCTACACTTCAGAATTACTTGCAGCAGCATCTGCAGCAGCTGATGATGACAAAGAGGATAGTGATGGAATTGATGAGTTTTGTGAAAAATCTAGTCAGGATTCTAGTGATGAAGCTATAACCCCAACTTCTATTTTACCTCCTATAAGTATAGATGGAAAGTCTAAAAATTCTGGAGAAAAACCACCTTACTCATATGCCCAGCTAATAGTTCAAGCAATAACATCGTCAGCTGATAAACAATTAACTTTGAATGGCATTTATCAGTTTATTATGAAAAATTATCCTTACTACAGAATAAATGACAAAGGATGGCAGGTATTGATAGTTCTATATATTAATTTTTATTCACTAAAATGTTATTATTTAAATAAAAATTAGTTGTATTAAAGAAAGCAATCTTTTTTTATAAAAATTGAGTTTACAGGACAGTATTATATATAGTAAATGACCGGGGTTGATATTTGACCAGGGCCAGGTTTGATATATTAAATCTGGGCCGGGTTTATGACCGGGGCTGCATAAACATTTATACATCTTAAAGTAAATTTTTTTAATTCAAATTTCATGTTATTTTATGTATATATATATATATATGTATATGTATATATATATATACATATATATATATATATATATACTTTTTTTTTGGCAAATAATACTACACCATATAAATACTAAAGTTTATAAAAATTTAAAAGAATATTGTATACCAGCATCTAAATAAATAGCAAACAACTATGTTTAAATCTATAATATGTATGCATAAAGTCGATCTCAGAAGTTTTTATTCTCTCTGGACTAAAAGTTTGGAAGCTTTTATTCCTACTTTTTTATTTTAAGTCAAACCTCATTCTAATGCATATTTGTTACCATCTTTGGTGGTTGCTTTGCTAATTGTTTCATCTTTTTTACAAGAACATCCCTCTTAAGAACAAATGTCTTTGTAAAAAGGTCCCGTCTGATGTTAAGCTCTGTTAAAAAATCTTCACTTTTTGATTGCTTAGAACAAGCAGCTGATTTTTAATCTGATCCCTCTTCTGTAACAGCCGAAACTTGCCGTGGCTTATGGATTTAAATTCTGCAATTTTTGTTAGCCAACAAAATTCATTTATTTACTGTAAAAAATATTGCAATAATGTTGGTATTCCTATATTGATAAATAACCTCTACACAAAGCGTAAAGCACATTGTAAATGTAATGCAGTCAAGGTGTAGTGGTAGAGTTTGTGCCACACGAGAGGTACCGAGTTCAATCCACCACCGTGTTCAATGTGTTTCTCTGCGCAGTGGCCTTGGTTGTCAAGATTCGTGTTTTGGAGTTATATAGTTGAGAGAGGGTTATAACTACAATTAAGTAGCCTCCTCTTCTGTAGTGGTGTTTTCAGCCTTATGGAGGTAAATTAACATATAAAAAATTTTTCTGATAAGTTAGACCTGCTTTATCTGCCAAGCTTGAGCCACTCTCCCATTGTTGTAAGGTTGCATTTCTTTCTTTTTTCTACAAATACAATCATGGTCAATGCTTAAACAAGTTATCATCTCTATATTATGATAAACCAAAAATCATTCTTGCTTGGCTTTTTATTCAACAAGTTGCGTCTATTTACTATAGGCCGCGTGAATAAAAATGAGCAATTGCTTTTACTCTGGTAGCTGGTCAGCTTTACGTGAACAAAAACTATCAGAGTTTTGCTAAAATTTTTATTCATGTAAAGTCAAGCAATTTACTCAATAACTGCTCTCCTTTACGTAAATAAAAACTTAAGCAAAATTTTTGAAGTTTTTATTAACGTAAAGCTGACCACTTACTAAGTAATGGCAATTGCTCATTTTTATTCACCCGGCCTTATATCTGTCCCTTTATGCTATAAAAACTAATTAATCCAGTTTTTTTCCTTGCACACCAAAAAAACCTTATAACTATTAGCCATCTTCTTATTTTTTATATACATCCTACAACTTTTCAAGTCTTCTTGTTGGAAATAAATTAGAGTTTGAAAATGTATAAATATATGCCAAATCTTGTTGGAAGTAAATTAGAGTTTGAAAATGTATAAATATATGCCAGTATTAATAAATAGTAAATGTAAGCATAAAATTATAATATATAAAGTATTATGAATTTTCTAGCCTTGGCTATCAACCCCTGCTAAATCTTATAGTTTAACTGGGGCCGGATTTGAAAAAAGTCTCATTTTTAGCCAGGGCCCCGGTCATTTACTATTTATATACAGGAATCCCAAAAGGGACTCCAGATATGAAAGTCGCAAAAAAGATAATTTCTTCCTAGTTTTTGGTATCCAGAAGCCCAAAAAATGTAAAGAGATGTATAGACTACTTTTGGAGGGAAAAATTAAAATTTTTAGGTTACATGAACATTTAATTGTTAAACCTGGAGTCTTTATGTATAATGGTGGCAAGAACTTTGGGCTAGAAGGCAATAAGTTCCAAGTCAATAAATCTCATGAATGTTTTTCTTATTGTAAGTTCAGTTAACATTTTTAGAGCTTCTGAGCATAAGAGACCAGGAAAAAATAGAGAAATATCTATTTTTTATGAATGCTTACACAGGAGAAGTTACTTGTTACTTGAATGCTGTTTTCCATTTCATGCATCCTGTGTTAAATAAAATCATGTTAAAAATTGCAATATATTTTAATTACAATATAAGTTATGTAGATAACAATTAAAAAAGATGGTGCACAGAAATTGCCAATTTGAAACAATAGGGTTATAAAGTTGAAGGATTTTACATAAAGTAAAAAATTAAAAGTATAAATAAAATTTTGGCATACAAAATGTTAATTAATTGATAAATATGAAAAAGACTGATAACTTAGAGAAGTATGATTATATTTTGCATATTGTAAACAAAAATAAAAATAATAAAATAAATAATAAATTGTATATATTGAATAGATTCCTAGCTTGTTTAAAATCATCAGAATTGTCAATTATTTTTAAATTCATAAGTAATTTATTGAAAAGTTAAATATATAATAGGGTGTCTCAAAAAACAACTTTTAAAAAAAATGTCTTCTCCCTCCTAAATACGTTTTATACTATAAAATGATACTAGAATTAAATATATATATATATGTTTTTAGGTGTCCCTCAAGTCCCTTAAACTTTAGATTACGGGACTTGAGGGACCTAAAAAATTGATTTTTTTTTTTTCAAAAGTTTTTTAATTCCAGTATTATCATATAGAATATTTAAAGGGTGGGAACAGACATTTTTAATAAAAGTTGTTTTTTGGGACACCCTAATACATATTCAAAAATATACCCCTATACATTATTGTAGTTTTAAGAGTACATTCCTATTTTTACTTCTACAAAGATCAAGTTTATATAGTAATTAATTGTGAAGTCAATATTTGGACTTCCCATTCCTAATAAAAACAACAAATAGATCTATTTCTTTTTTAGTTATTTTCTACTTTTTTAATGTTTTAGAATTCTATTAGACACAACCTTTCTTTGAATCGCTATTTTCTTAAAGTTCCAAGATCTCAAGATGAGCCCGGAAAAGGCTCTTTTTGGCGTATTGATTTATCATGTGAAACTAAACTAATGGAGCAAGCTTTTAGGAAGAGAAGACAGAGAGGTGTTGCTTGTTTCAGGCCTCCTTATATATCTTCCAGGTACGTTTAAAACCAAAAAATTTATAGCTTCTTAATATTATTGATTTTGCAATATAATGTTTGTAGGTTTTGTTTAACAATTCAAATTTTTTATTTATTTATTTTTAAACAATAAAACATAATAAAAATTTAAACACAGCATATTTGATCATTTGGGGTCGTCCGTAAAGTATATATGCTTTTTTTTTTCAACTACCCTCCACCCCCTTTCCTCCCCATTTTGCTATACACTTTTTTGAGTACCCTCTACCTCCCTAAAAGTAACTACGCTTTTAACCTACAACCCATTTTACAATTTTTTTTTTAATTTAGTGTCTCTATATTTTATAATTGACCTACTGCCTCCCCCCCCCCCATCCCTCCTATCTCATATAGACCCTTTGCAAACTTCCTCTCGTACGTACTTTATGGACAATCCCTTTCCACATAGTTTTAGTTGGTTGGAATTTGCAAGTTCCAATTTTGTTTTAGTTAAATGTAGAATGTAAAAAACTGTTTAAATAAAGTAGCATTGCAAGATTATTTACAAAAGCACAATTTCTTATTCAAATTCAAATTTGGTGTGAATGTACCATTAGATTTTCATTAGTTAAACAAGCTAATATTACATAGGCATATAATAGACTTAAATAAACATGTTGTCATTTTTTTCTTTTTGCTATCAATATATACTTGCATATATTACAATAGGTCTGCTCCAGTTTCGCCTACTCAAGGTGTAATGTTACCCCCATCATTTAAACCACAGTCAAGAAATAATGAAGATGATCAACAAGATTTGAATAATTTTGAAGAACAGAATGATCTTAACCTAACTTTACCCCCTGCTTTGCAGCCTGTTAGAATTTCTTCGATAAGTGCCCAACCTAGTCCTCGCTCTGTATTTTTTACATCAAATAAGTTTATTGGTACAGTAAGTTCAGGACAAGTAATTCAAGCTGCTCCAAGTCGTACTCCATCTGGCATTTATTTACAAACAAATGATAGGCAACCAACTGAAGTTCGATCACCTATTAACCCACCAACAACAATGATGTTCCATCAGCCAATTAAGTCCCCATTACTGAGTCCTAGTCAAAATGGAAATCACTCAACATCTTCATTTAGCCATACAACTATCGTGACATCTGTTGTACCTTCTGCACAATTACTTACTTCTGCTCAACTTTTAAGTGTAAATGCATTAAATCATATGATGAACCAACAACAGGGCTCAATGATTCCTATCACTTTTTCAGTCACAGGTTCACATTTAGATGCTCTTCAATCTTCAAATTCTGGTGATGACAAGAAAGATTTAAACAAAGAAGCCTTTTCTATAACAGATATACTAACTACCAGAAACTTAGGTATTTTTATTTATTTTTCTAATTATACATCTAATTAAAGCAAATTTTTGAAATTTAAGTTTGTATGACTTTTTTTAGTTAGTCAGCAAAATTCGGTCAACGGCTTAATTGGCAAAGTTGCTTCAGTAGCTTATCAAAATTGCAACAGTCCTCAAACTGTTGTTGTGCTAGCCCCCTCTTCTAGCATTCTTCAGAATCCTACTGAAGCTTTACAAGCAGCAAAACGTGCTTATCCTCGTCCAGCCCTTATTCAAACCGAAGACATTAAAAAAAGAAAGTTAAGTGATCCAATCACTTCTAACGTTGAGTCCAATAAGCATAATCGACCTTCATTAACATTACGTCATCAACTACAACAAGGTTCATTAGTGCATAGTTCGAACGCTGTTTTTCAACTTCAGCAACAAAATGTTAATCGATTGTTGCAACCGTTACAATTATCGCAGCAAGATAATGACAAAAAAGTATTAAACAGTTCTGAATATTTAGAACTTTCTGCAGAAGAAAGTTTACACCGAGAAAAATTGGAACAAGAATGCAAAAATAGAGTTCCGGTAGAGACGATGCTCTCAGGTATAGGATCGGCTGTGTGCGTTACATCAGCAAATTCATAATTGCAAGTATGTCCCAAGTAAGTCCCAAGTAGGCAATAGTGGTTTGTTTCATTGGTTAAGATCTTTATAATTTAAGGATTTCCTTGAAACAATAAATTGCCATGCTGAACGAGATTAACCACTATTTGAAATAGAATCATGCTGAGATTACAAAATACGATTTATTCTCACAAAATTGTCTCGAAGTTAATTTAAAAATACAGCATTCGGAAGGAGTTTACGCACATAGTAAATAGAATAGAAGTAAGCTTCAGCCATATGATTAACACGTCAAAATCATAAACAATTGAACATACAGAAATTATTTTTTTTTTTATACATATATATATTGAAGTGTGTTGATAATGTAAATATTTTTTTAGAACACATGATATTTGCGTATTTTTTGTTGTAATCTTGTACAAAGTAAAAGAAAAAATTACAAAATCAACTATATTTGAGTGGCCCTTGAATTTTAAGCAACAAAAATTTAATCCGTCTAAAGTTTTTTTTAGATAAATTTTTTTTTAGCTTCCCCGGTGGGAAATCGGCTAGCGAATAGCTATCTATAATCGTTACGATAAAGACAGCGATTTGGCCACGAGGATCGCTAGCTTTTATAAGCTATCGATATTTTTAAGGTGGTATACCCCTCAGAAATATCAAATTTTGAAAAAAAAATTTTGTTCTTTATTTTTATTTAAAATTTATTATAGAATCATATTTTAAAAACCATTTTTTAAAATTCAGTATATAACTTGAGGAAAACAAACTTTAATGATCCTTACATTTTTAAACGCCCTTGACAACCCCCATAGCAACGCATTAACAATTTTCATTTGGCCAAGAAATTCTCCTCAAACATAATTTTTAAAGCTTCTTGAAATGAGTTTATAATTTATTTCTATTTTCCATTGATCAAAACATCTGTAAGATTAAAAGCAATAACTGGATTTCTCATAAATTTCTTCCAGAAGTTTCTTTAAAACGAATTGTCATCTTAAAGTTATATAAATCTATGCATCTGTTTATGTTTATATAAATTAAAACGTATACTTTTAATGGGTAGAGAACGTGTGAAATTCGCTACTCAATACAAAAAGAAAAAAAGATTTCATGGAAATCAATATACTTTAAATAAAACAAATTCAGCAAATTCAAGTCTTCTACCTTCTACAGATTCACAGAGCTCAATAAATATATCTTATTCCAAGGTAAACCCTATTAATACTTCTGCAAGTTCTAATAAAAAAAACATATATGGATACAGAATAATTGATAGCACTTTATTAGCCTTTGTTATTCAGTTGTTATGTTGTCCAGAATGTAAAACTTGTCGACTTAATTTATCTGAAAACGCAAAAAAAAAAATTGGACTTACCAGCTCATTGATTATATTCTGTAAATGTGGATTCAATCATGAATTTTTTACATCCAAGAAGTGTGGTTCTGAAAAAAGTAGAGCTTTTGATATCAACCAAAGGTCAGTTTATGCTATGCGTTCATGTGGGCAAGGCCATACTGGCCTTAAAAGATTCTGTTATCTTATGGATCTTCCACCGCCAATGACTAAAAATACTTACATTAAAATTGTTCAAAAAATTGCTATTCAAGTTGAAGCAATCGCAGTAGAAACCATGTCTGATGCTGCACTTGAAATTATAAAAGCCTCCCAACATACTACTGATGAATCCAATTTAATAAATACCAGTGTTTCTTGTGACGGTACCTGGCAACGTCGAAGTTTTTCCTCATACAATGGTGTTTATACTGCAATATCTATGATTACAGGAAAAGTTTTGGATTGTGAAGTATTATCCAAATATTGCAAACGATGTTTTTTAATTACAAAGAAAAAAAATACAGACCCTGATGCATATAAAATCCTAAAAAATACTCATTTTTGTAACCTCAACTATACTGGCCCATCCACCGGTATGGAGGTCGCTGGAGCAAAATCAATTTTTGAACGATCTATTGAAAAGTATAAACTTCGCTATACTGAATTTTGTGGTGACGGAGATAGTAAGGCATTTTCATCTGTTGAAAGAGTATATGGTGATACACTAGTTTCAAAATTAGAATGTGTTGGTCATGTGCAAAAAAGAGTTGGCACACGATTAAGAAAATTGAAAAAAGAAAGTCGTCGGTGGTAAAAGAAGACTTACTGATGCTACAATTGACAGATTGCAAAACTATTATGGAATTGCAGTTAGAACCAAAAATCAGTCTGTTAATGAAATGCGCAGTGCAATACTTGCTTCATTGTTTCATGTTGCTTCCTCAAAAGAAAATAACTATCACATCTATTGTCCAAACGATGAAAAAAGTTGGTGCCAGCACAATGTTGATCGAAAACATCCCAATCAACCATCTCTCTATAAACCTGGCCCTGGTTTGCCACGTGATATTATTGAGTTACTAAAGCCAATTTATAAAGAACTTAGCTCTAATGAATTGCTTGCAAAATGTATGCATGGAAAAACTCAGAACCAAAATGAGAGCCTTAACATGATGATATGGGAACGAGTTCCAAAAACTAAATTCTGTTCATTGTTACATTTGAAATTTGCAACATATGATGCTATTGCAAACTTTAATATTGGAAGAAAAGCATCAGTGATGACTTATGAAAATCTCAATATGATTCCAGGAACATTTACGATAGATGGCTGCAATAGAGAAAATAAAATGCGTATCAATCGTCATACAAAAATAAATCTGATGTAAAGTTGCGGAGAAAAACAATCAGAGGCAATAAAAAGAACAAAAATGATAGGGAAAAGCAAAAACAAGGCACTCTTTATGCTGCTGGTAGCTTTTAAACAATTTGCTCTAAAATTTACAAACATTGTTTATTTTTATAATACTTTTTTGGATATTTTTCTCTTTTTTAATTTTTAAAGTCTTTATTTGCTAACTTCTATTTTTCAATCTCCCGTCACAGTTATTTCATTTTCTAGTAATCAGTTTTTAACCAAATTTTCAGCAGTGATGTGTTTTTATATGATGTATGCAATCTGCCAAAAGTTAATTATAAAACATTTCAGATTTTGAGGTATTGCTGTTTCAGCACTAAAAAATTGCTTATTTAAAAATCTTCATAATCCATGTAGTGCTACATGAAAACTAATAGTCAGATTTAAAAACTTTTGGCAGATTGCATAGATCAAATTGTTTTTTATAATTGGGCCAAGTTTTACTTTAAATACTCGATTAGATTTTGAGATATTTTTGACAGTGCGATGTGCATATTTTCTTATATCCGCCATTATAGGTGGTTGTCATGACAACATAACCACCTGTTATTTTATAAATCAATTTCGTTTAATAAGATCTTTCATAGGCTTAATTTTTATTTTGACTATAATATTTCAATTCCAAGATAATTTTGAAGGGGGTATACCACCTAGACAAAGATAGCGATTTGGCTACGAGGACAGCTAGCTTAATAAGCTGAAGATCCACTGGCTATTGTACCTAGCGTCATATTGTAATAAAATCGCTGTTTAAAAAGTTTTGATATGTAGCTATCAACCAGCTAAAAATTTGTAGATATTTTGTAGCTACAAAATATCTACAAAAGGCTACGATATGTAGCTAGCGGCACATTGCTACAAAATCGCAATGTTTAAAGTTCAATTATTTTCATAATTATAATAGACGCAACACTAAAAATCGAATTTTTAAAGATTTTAAAGACATTTGTAAAAAAAAAAAAATCGCTTGAAAATCGCTATAGAGCTTGCTAGTCGCTAGCTCATTTCCCACCGGGCCGGTTGCTCTACTCGAATACAGTTTCTTCGTTGACAAGTGAAACGTCCCTCTTTCTTCGCGTGTATTTAACACCTGAGACAAATCCGGTTTCAATCAATATCAAAATAATCTCTGCAAATCGGAATTGTTAACTTTTTTATTTTATTTAAAACGTGAATGTTCCAAAATCTAAAGTATAAATATGGAAAGTGTAGACAGAGTGTAAAAGAATGTTTTTAAAATCAAACCCAATACTGATTTAATGAAAAATTAAGTTTATTAAGCCATGATGTTTTACCCAACGTCATGCTGGGTTTTAAAATAACCGTATTGTGTAGAGAATTTAAAAAGTTTAAATACTTTTTTTTAATCAAACTCGATTTTTTTTTTAAGAAAAGCATTTTTAAACTTTAAATACTTTTTTTAAAATAAAGCACATTTTTATTGATTTTTTTAAAAGCTTTTTTCAAATAGCTTTTGGTAACATACAATCGTCGCGTTGGTTTGACAATGTTTTAACTGGAGTTTTTTATATTAGGAGAATTTAGAAAAAATTTTTTTTTATGTTTAATTAAAATTATTTGATATAATTGTTTTTTTATTTGTTTATGTATTCTTTTTTTGGTTGATGTATAAAAATACAAAAGTAAACAAAAAATAATTGTATAAATATTTTTATTTGGACAATAAAAAAAGAAAAAAGAAAAAACGATTTATTTGCTATTGTCCTAATATAGTTAGAACCTTGTCAAACCAACGCGACACAATAGGTGATCTTAATCGGGAAAAACATGCGCTTCGTCACGCTTCTGAGTGTAAAAAAAACTTCTGAGTGTTATACCGATGCAGTGTTACGGTATTTGCAGTGTACGGTATGTTTACGCAGTGTTTACAATATGTTAAACCGTAATATCGCAAGTTATACCGTAAAATCGGTCACCATGTAACCGGTCATTTAAGAGAAAATATAAAAAAAAGCATATAAAACTCAAATGTTACAAACTTTTTTTTCTCGAATAATATTTGAAATAACTTCTTAAATATTAATCTATAAAAAGATAATGTTTATATGCTACCTGCTAAAATAATTCTTTAGCAAAACAACAATTTGAAAAAAGGCATACTATTAAAATCTAAAATAATGAAAGTATTAAAATAAATGATTAATTTTAGCTTATTTTAGATAAGACCGTAAAGACTTCTTGGAGCAGCCAAAAAAAAAAAGAATTATATTTACAAAAAAAAAAAAGTATTAAGTTTTGAAAATTAACAACTTTTTTTATAAAAAAAATAGTGAAACTTTATAATACTCTAACTTCGGTCATTCACGGATAAACAACGAACGATTAGCAGTAATATTGTAAAATGTTGATGTGTTGCAAATTACCTGTAAGTTTACCAGTAAATTTTGACATTTTTATAATGAATACACACTATGGTATTAAAATTGAATTAAAAAATTTGTTCATAATTTTAAAATTAACGGTTCTTTGAGTTCTAAAAAATGTCAAGTTTGTTACATTTTTTTTCGGAGGTAAAATACAGCTCAACAACAATTATGGATGCGTTGCAAATCCTGTGACGATTGCTTGTGTTGATCTTTCTGTTCTACTATGGTCAACGATACGTGCAAGAATTGCCAAAAA